TTTTGAGGTTTTTAAAGCTTTTTGAGGTTTTTGAAGCTTTTCCAAAACTTTTCCGACACCGTGCTTCGCAAGGCGAAAAAAATCGCAAGACGACAAAACTTGCAGAACGAATTAATTTTGTCTTGCGAGGCACCACTGTACTGCCAAAACATTCCTTTGAAATTCCTGCAAAATGCACGAGTTTCTTCTCTGTCCACAAGCTGGCACTGTTTTGCATCCTGTTTGATTCTCTGTGCAGGAAGGAGGGCGGATGGCTGGATGTAGAATTCCAGTCCTTTCCTCAGCCTGACTCAACATCACCCGCAACAGGGCAGAATGAGACAGCTGCACCAGGCTGCAGATTTTGGGCCGCAAATTGTTAGTTATTTAACCCAAGGGTCCCAACTCTACAATTGATTCTATGATTCTATGGACCACTTGAAAACCGAGAGTCTTGGTGGCTCGCTTAATGATTTTCCCACCTGTTTATAATTGTAATGCATGCTAAATGCTGTGTGGGTTTTTTATTGCTTCTTTCATTTCTTATACAGTGGTACCTCGGTTTAAGAACAGCCCTGTTTATGAACTATTCAGTTTACAAACTCCACAAAACCGGAAATAGTGTCCTGGTTTGTGAACTTTACCTCGGTCTAAGAACGGGAGCCGAATGGTGGAAGGGCACTGGTGGTGGGAGGCCATTAGGGAAAGCGCGCCTCGGTTTAAGAACAGACTTCCGAAACGGATTAAGTTCGTAAACCAAGGTACCACTGTATATTGTATTTTGTTGCATTACATTTTGAATTCCATAGAATTAAGTGAATTAAGTGTCCTGAGTCAGCCTTCTGAGCCCATCTGCGTGATCTCAGTCATATTATTCTATGCCTACAAAAATACCCAAAATCAGTTTTTGAATTCATTTGTAATTCTACCTACCAGGAAAGCAACATGGATACATGATTTCTTCCTCAATGCAGAAACACTAGTCTGCCAAATAGCTATCAGACCTTCCTCCTGGAAAGTTCACGTTGAAGTAAATCATGTGGATCAGAACTCTCCCATGTTGTAGAGATAAAAACCATAAAATCATTACTCATGAAGTCCTGTTCTCTCCCCTGATCCATCTCTAAAGAAACAGAATGCTACAGAGCAAAAGGCATTTGGGTATCATTAGCAAATTCCAATTACCCTCCCAGGTAATATAAAAGTGTTGTCATTTTTGTTGTTAAACTATACTTTTCTATGCAGCTCACATGCATAAAATGCTAACATGCAATTAAAATAACAATACAGTGGTACTTTGGTTCTCGAACTTAATCCATTCTGGAAGTCCGTTCAACTCCCGAAACTGTTTGAAAACTAAGGTGTGGCTTCCGATTGGCTGCAGGAGCTTCCTGCACACAAGCAGAAGCTGTGTCAGACATTCGGCTTCTGAAAAACGTTTGAAAACCGGAACACTCACTTCTGGGTTTTCGGCGTTTGGGACCTGATTTGTTCAACAACTAAATCGTTCGAGAACCAAGGTACCCCAGTATCCTAAAATAAAAACTTGCAGCAAAGAAACTCCAGCAGAGAGAATAAGGTCAAAGTAAATAAATAAAAAATGTACAGCCACATGAAACAGTAAAGAGTAAAATGTTACTAACTGGGACCGTTTTTATGAAGTCTTGGTGCAGGAATGACCAGGCAAGCCTCTGCAGGGAGGCTATTCTACAGTGGTGCCATCACTGAGAAGGCCGTCTCTCTGGTACTGCAGGTACTCTCTGGTACCTTCCCACTGCAGTGGTACCTATTTATCTACTTGCACTACCGTGCTTTCAAACTGCTAGGTGGGCAGGAGCTGAGACAGAGCAACAGGAGCTCACCCCGTCGCAGGGATTTGAACCGCTGACCTTCTGATTGGCAAGCCCAAGAGGCTCAGTGGTTTACACCACAGCTCCACCCACATTCTACTCTGGAGTAAGAATATGGGAGCCAGCTGTACATCATCTAGCCTAATGAGAGGACCCTTCCCCTCTGAACTGCATTCAATGGTAAAAAGAGGTGTGGGATATAGCTATTAATGATAAATTAACATGTGCCATTAAGGTAAGATGAGGAATATGCAGGAGAAATTATTTTGAGGAGATGTGGAAGGTGTTTGTAGAATTTGTACTGTTAAAACGGGAAGGGGTCAAACCATTGCAAGAAGGGTTGAAATTTTGGGAGGTTGGATAGTTACAATGGAATGGTCTCAGCAGTGGGGTGTACATTTTTATTCTTGTTTATTTATGATTATTACTTTGATAAAATAAACTAATTTTTAAAAAGAGTCAATTAAAATGTGTTTGTTTTTTTAATTGAACTGCATTCAAGTCAGGCTCCTTGGAATGTAGGAAGACCAATACCAGAAACTTTATTGTCAGTTAACTTGTGTTTTGATTTGCACTTACATACATAATCCTAGACCAGTTTTCTTAAAAATAATTATAATATTATTTATAATATAATTTTATTATTTGAACCCTGCCCACCTGACTGGGTTGCTCCAGCCACTCTGGATTGCTTCCAACATATACAAAACCGTAATAGAACATTACACATTAAAAAGCTTCCCTATTTAGAAATTGTTGGTTTCTGGCCTTTTTTATATATATAATTTGCTCTGTATTTCATATATTTGCATTTTTGGAAAGTTTGCTGTGAGCCAGTTTGGGAAAGTGACATATAAGTAAACTCAGTCAATGGTATACAGCATCAGTAGCCAAACTAAGGCCCAGGGGCCGAATCCGGCCCAATCGCCTTCTCAATCCGGCCCGTGGATGGTCCGGGAATCAGCGTGTTTTTACATGAGTAGAATGTGTGCTTTTATTTAAAATGCATCTCTGGGTTACTTGTGGGGCATAGGAATTCGTTCACCCCCCCCCAAAAAAAAATAGTCCGGCCCCCACAAGGTCTGAGGGACAGTGGAAAAAGTTTGCTGACCCTGGTATACAGTATAAGCCTAAGGTGATAAAAGGTGATCTGATCTACAAAGGCCACTTGGTCCTGTAACGACAGGACTGGATCAACAAGCACCCCAAACTGGGAATCAGATCCTTACACAGGATGCAACCTGCTCTAGAACAGGGATAGGCAGAAGGTAGCTTGGAATTACTTCCAGAACTCAGTGCGGCTTGCGGTAGATTGGGAAGGATTTCTACCCTCTTGTTAAACAGCAACAACACAAACACACAAAATTAAGCCGCCAGAATGAAGAAAACTGGGGAAGGAAAAGGGGTGCTGCTTTAGTGCAATGGGTATCCTCTATCATCATACTGGTGAGGAACTGCCATCATTTTGTCCGACATCATTTGGTCTTACTACCAGCCTCTGGATTTGGCCATTTTGGGTAAAAAACATTCACCTTTCTCAAGCTGGAATTCAGCTGATGTAGCTTCATTAATGCGTGACCCAAAAATTCCGGACCCCACCCAATTGATGCCAAAGTTTGGTGCTAGTTTTGCCACAAACCCGTTTTGTGCCAACCCCCCCCCAAAAAAAAATCAAGCAATTGACACATCAAATCGGGGTCACAGGTTAACCTCAACTGACTTCAAACATGTCACATGTGGGAAAGCTCCGGGACCCCCTTCTAAATCCAAAGCGTGCATTCTTTATTCTTTCGTTACAGCTGTCGCTTAAATTGGGCGCTTTTAAAATTTAGTGCCTTTTTCTAAACCCATGGCAACAGAAATATGATGCACCAGAGTCAAAAAGTCCAGAATTCTCGTCTCTTTCCCCGGGCCTTTGACACTTGGGACATGTGCTCTCAGGACACACACACACCTCAAAAAAATTCCGCGACTGCAATTTGTTTTAAATGTTCTTAATACTGAATTTTAACTTGTAACCCGCTTTGGGACCCACTGATGAAGTTTAGCACGCTACACCTCACGGTCCAAAGGGTGGACTGTGCGGAGGCCCAGACTAGGACAGCACTTTTGTCCGGGCGGGGGGCGGGGGGAGAACTTCGCCAGTTGCAGCTTCCCCCTTCTACCCTACCAACACAGTTTTCCCAAGGCAGCGAGAAATGGCTGGGATTCCCCCTGGCTTTTACGCAGAGCCTTCTCCCTCCGGCCTCGGACGTGGCAGCACAACTGAGAGCCAACGGCTCGGCTGGCTTTCGTCGGGAGCAGCTCCGACTGAACCCGGGGAACTCGCTTCCAAGTCGATGCGGCTTGGATCCCATCCGGCTTCCCTTTCCCTGGACGGAGCGGGGCTGCGCCCAGAGGAGCGACCAGAGCGGGGCTAGCCAGACCAGGCCAGGCTGGAAAAGGGGGGCGAGACTCGCTTCGCATCGCGCTCCGGGCCTGGAGGAGCGACGCCCAGGCGAGTCTCTGCCCCGAGGCAGCTGCAGCCGCTGCAGCCGCCGCCCCCAAACACGCTCCGCCCCTCGACGGGACGCTCTCGCTCCGCCCCATCGGGTTGCCCGAGCATTTCGGGGGCGGGGGGACCCGGAGGAAAGCTTCGCCCAGCGCCTCCGGGGCCGGCGAGCGCGGGGTTGGCTCTCCCTCCGCCGCCCGTCCGCCCCGTCGTGCCGGACTTTGGCCCCGCTCCTTGGCCCCGCCTCGTGGGGAGAGGCGCCAGGGGTCCTTCCCAAGTGGCCCCGGCCCGAGGCTGCTGCGCTCTCGTGCGCCCTGAGCGCCACCGGAGCTGCTCTTTGTTCCAGCGCTGATGCCGAGGCGAGGAAACTTTGTTTGTTTGTTTGTTTGCGCTCCTTGCCAGGCGGCCCGCCCCTCCCCCCCCTCCTTCGATCCCTGAGAAGATCCGGATTGCAGAGGACTTCCAGGAGCCGACGGGAGCCCCTGCCCCACCCTGGCGCTCCAAGTCCAGCTTTCTGCCCTCTCCAGCCGCTCTCACCAGGGACTAGAAGACTTGGCGTCTTCCTCCCCGGTGACTGAACCCCAGCGCGGCTCTGCTCTCCTCCCCCAGGGACCCGAGGCTCCGGAGTGAGTTTGAACCGCATGCACTAACGAGCTGGATCCCGCCCGATCCCGCAGCGGCAGGTTGCTCTGCAAAGATCATGCAAAAAGATCCCGACGCGCTCCTCCACGCCCTGTCCCGGCAGCCGCTCAGCGCGGAGCCTCTGGCTTGGCCTCGCCACCAGGGCGACGTCCAGGTGACGGTGAGGAGGCCCAGATCCCGAGCTGGGGACTTCGCTGCTCCCAGGGCTGCGCTGAGGAAGACCTTGGTGGCTGTGGATGTCGTGTGCCTGCTCGTGGGTGAGTGGGGGCGCGGAGGGGCTGGGATTTTACTGGCCAGGTAACCAGGAAAGTGGGAATTTGCCAATTAGCTTTCTCGAGATGAAATCCTGAATCCAGGCAAAGGTTTTTCTTAATCCCACTAATTAGTGATTTGCAATTGCTTAATTTTTTTGTTTGTGTTGGCGTCTTATGGCGTGTCGCTCATTTCACCTTCTGGTTATTTGCACATCTGGTAATGCAGCATGGAGCAGTATTAAGATCACCAGGCAGCCAGTGCTCATTTATCCAGCTTTTCACAGAATCATGGAGCTAGCAGGCACCCTGAGGGTCATTTAGTCCAACCCCCTCCAATGCAGGAATCTTTTGCCCAACATGGGGATCTAACCTACAACCCTGATATTAAGAGTCTGACCGATGCCAATTCTGCAAGCTGGAAGGGTCTATCTAAATCGGAACATGTGCAGCCCAACACTCTGCTCAAATATTCTTGTAATTCATGGAGCACTTTGCTTTGGTCCTTGGCAATCACTTCAAGGGACATTAAAGGTAAAGGGACCCCTGACCATTAGGCCCAGTCGTGGCCGACTCTGGGGTTGTGGTGCTCATCTTGCTTTACTGGCCGAGGGAGCCGGCATACAGCTTCCGGGTCATGTGGCCAGCAAGACTAAGCCGCTTCTGGCGAACCAGAGCAGCGCATGGAAACGCCGTTTACCTTCCTGCCGGAGTGGTACCTATTTATCTACTTGCACTTTGACGTGCTTTCGAACTGCTAGGTTGGCAGGAGCAGGGACCGAGCAATGGGAGCTCACCCCGTCACGGGGATTCCAACCGCTGACCTTCTGATCGGCAAGCCCTAGGCTCTGTGGTTTAACCCACAGCGCCACCCGCAAGGGACATTAAGCCTCCATATATTCAGCCCAGCTACTACAGGAATACCTTAATCTCTTTTCCACTGAGAATCAAGTTTAAGACACTAACAGCAGCATAGTTCTTTCTTTACCCTTTTGACCAGTGCTTTGAGTTGTTGGGCCAGAGGCTGCTGTTGAGATCCCAGCTAAGGAGTAATAATAATAATATATTATTATACCCCGCCCATCTGGCTGTGTTTCCTCCAGCCACTCAGGGACCATGCTGGATACCTGGAAGCCATGTGGAAGATTCGAGGAATTGTAGCAGTGGCATTTTTTCCCTGGCTCTTTAATTCCAGATGCCATTGCATGATTCCTGATGGGGAACTGCTATGATTAAAACAGCCTGACTGGCTGGCGCACACACACACACACACACACACACACACACACATCTTTGTATTGGAAGCTCTTCAGCTTTTATTCCTGACTTTTGGCCCTGTTCCTCCCTGGACGACTTTTAGCAACACATTGCAAAGATGTGCGCATGGAAGAACCCAAGGCACCCGGTTTGTGATCAGAGGTGACCTTGCCTTGAGTCAAGGTGAGGAGGCTGCCTTCAGGGCAGAACTAGGCATGAGAAGGAGCCCATACAGCTTTCCTGGTTAATGATAATATAGAGGAGGGTTCATCTTCAGAGGAGATCTGGTGGGTGGAAGGGCCGGGCTTCCTGCTTCCACACACCCACTGGTTTTCCCAAACCACCCCTCCCCTTCTTTCCCCAGTCAGGCATATTTCTGGTCACGGGTCATGGGGGAGAACTGGTGAGTGGAGAAGGGTTAATTACCCCTGAAATCTGTGCTTTTGTAAGGAATCACAGGGTTGTGATAACATCTAGTTTCTCCTTTAGATGTTGGATTTTCAGATGCCTGGCCTGTGGGGCACAGTTGCTCTATTAAGCCCTGGTGTAATCAGTAATAATAATAATAAATAATGTATTACTTATACCCTGCCTATCTGGATGGTCCTCCCCAGCTACTCAAGGCGGCTCCCAACAGAATATTTAAAACATGATAAAACATCAAACATTAAAAGTTTCCCTAAACAGCGCTGCCTTCAGATGTCTTCTAAAAGTCAGATAGTAGTTGTTCTCTTTGACATCTGATGGGAGGGCATTCCACAGGGCAGGTGCCACTACCGAGAAGGCCCTCTGCCTGGTTCCCTGTAACCTCACTTCTCGCAGTGAGGGAACCACCAGAAGGCCCTTGGAGCTGGACCTCAGTGTCTGGGCAGAACTATGGGAGTGGAGAAGCTCCTTCAGGGCCGAGGCCTGTTTAGGGCTTTAAAGGTCAGCACCAACACTTTGAATTGTGCTTGGAAACGTACTGGGAGCCAATGTAGGTCTTTCAGGACCGGTGTTATATGGTCTTGGCGGCCACTCCCAGTCACCAGTCTAGCTGCCGCTTTCTGGATTAATTGTAGTTTCCAGGTCACCTTCAAAAGTAGCCCCATGTAGAGAACATTGCTGTAGTCCAAGCAGGAGATAACTAGAGCATGCACCATTCTGGCGAGACAGTTTGCGGGCAGGTAATAAACCTACGGTCAGAATTTAATGAAATGTCATGGTGGAGTCATTTCCCTAGGGCACCCAGCCATCCTATCTTACTTTTGGCTTGCTCTGCATGGTTTAAGGCAAATGTTGGTTTCCGATTCAGCTAAGTATGGAGAAGCTTTGGGGGTCCAAAACTCAACCCCTAGAAACCTAATCCAGCAACACTTCTGGTTTATGTCATTCCCCCAGGCACAGCCCATTTGTTCCCTAATCATTGCTCCAAAACCTCAGGGCTAGAAACTTACTTGGTTGCAGTTTAATTAAAACTGATTTTCCCAGGGAACTCAATTCAATCCCCCAATACCAGATTTGGGGTTTATACAACCCCTTAATTACCTGCTGGATGGTGTTGATGAACACATAAGGGAGTTGAGGGGAAACTTGGGAAGGCCCCTTGATCAAGGGGCTGGGCTCAGAAGCGGGAAACGCAAGTTCGAATCCCTGCTCAGCCAGAGAACTCTTGCTCCCGTCTCTTTAAATCATTTTCTGGCCAGGTTCCCAACTGGAAGTAGCTTGGAAGTAGAGGAGGGAGGAGGTGTCAGGAGGGAAGCATTTGAGAATTGAGACTGATGGGAAGTGGAAGCCACTGGGGTTTGGAAACCATAGCTCTAGCGCAGGGGTCAGCAAACTTTTTCAGCAGGGGGCCGGTCCACTGTCCCTCAGACCTTGTGGGGGGCCGAACTATATTTTGAAGGGGGGGAAAGAACAAATTCCTATGCCCCACAAATAACCCAGAGATGCATTTTAAATAAAAGGACACATTCTACTCATGTAAAAACACGCTGATTCCCGGACCATCCGCTGCCCAGATTTAGAAGGCGATTGGGCCAAATCTGGTCCCCAGGCCTTAGGTTGCTTACCCATGCTCTAGCCCAGGGGCCAGCAAACTTTTTCAGCAGGGGGCCAGTCCACTGTCCCTCAGACCTTGTGGGGGGGCTGGACTGTATTTTTGGGGGGAATGAACAAATTCCTATGCCCCACAAATAACCCAGAGATGCATTTTAAATTAAAGCACACATTCTGCTCATGTAAAAACACCAGGCAGGCCCCACATTTTAAATAAAAGGACACAGTCTACTCATGTAAAAACACGCTGATTCCCCGACTGTCTGCAGGCCGGATTTAGAAGGTGATTGGGCCAGATCCGGCCCTCGGGCCGTAGGTTGCCTACCCCTGCTCTAGCCGCTAGTGGGACAGGGGACAGGGTGGCCCCATTCATTCCCCACCTCTCTGCTGCAGCAAGGGCATGGGTCTTCCACTGTAGAACAAACAAAGCTGAGGCAGTGTGTCATGCAAGAACCAACGTCTGTCTTCTTTCATGCTTCCCTGGTTATTCTGGCGCGGATGTCACCAATATGCCACTCTGCGTGTGCCTGCAGAGGCCTTCCCTATTGTCCATAGGTTGCCTTGCCCTTTCCTCTGATGAAATTAGGCCTTTCAGGGGCTAATGCAATAGGTTGGGTGTGAGGTGTTTGGTGTGGTACCCCTAACAGTTTAGGCAGTTTGCAAAAGGGCCCATGAGCCCCAAAAGAGGGAAACGTGAGTCACCTGAAATATTTACTCTTTATTTATCTCTCTTTTTTTATACAGTCACACCTCATGTTACGTTTGCTTCATGTTACGTTTTTTCAGGTTGCGTCCCGCGACGACCCAGAAGTACCGGAAAGGGTTACTTCCGGGTTTTGCCGCTCACGCATGCACAGAAGCGCTAAATCGTGCTTCGCGCATGCACACAAGCGCCAAATTGCGCCGCACACCTGCACAGATACGGTGCTTCAGGTTGCGGGCTTTTCATGTTGTGAACGGGCCTCTGGAACGGATCCCGTTCGCAACCAGAGGTACCACTGTATAACAATTTATCGATTTAACAAAAAATAAAAACAATAACAATACAAAAACAAAACAAAGCAAATTGACCTCCCTCTAGTCCCTTCCTTGGTTCCATAATTTATCAATATACTGTCCATTGTTCAGTTTGAAACCTTATTTAAACTACTTATTATCCATTCATAACAAAATTACAAGTAATTCAAACCCTGCTAATGTATTAACTGTGCACAATGCTTCTGTACTTATGCAATAAACACCTTCCATTCTTCCTTAAATTCATTGTCATCTCTTCCTCTTAGTTTCATTGTCAATTCTGCCATTTCAGCATATTCCATTAATTTAACTTGCCAATCTTCTTTAGCTGGGACTCCTTCTTTCCAACATTGTGCTAATAATGTCCATGCAGCCGTAGTTGCATACATAAATAAATTCTTTTGTGATTTTGGTAGATCCACTCCTATAATAGCTAATAGGAAAGCTTCTGGTTTTTTTTAACAAAGTTTATTTTAAACATCTTCATTTCATTATAAATCATTTCCCAGTATTTCTTTATGATTTTACAGTCCCACCACATGTGGAAAAATGTCCCTTTACTGGATATCTCAAAAGGACATCCTCTCCAGCCCAGCATCCTGTTTTCCACAGTGGCCAACCAGAGGCCTAAGAGAAGATCATGAGCAAGGCATATAATACATTTGATGGTTTTTTGTTGTTTGTTTTTGTGTTTA